GTGATGACGTTGTGTTTGGGCGAAGCCCTCTAGGGAGGGGTCCAGGGGAGGGGGGAGGAGCGGGGGGATGTGATCTAATGGCCGCTCGGGGCGTCTTCGGGGCGTCTTGGAGGCCTCTTGGGCGTTTCTTGGGCGCTCAAGACGGTCCAAGAGGGGTCCAAGACGGTTCCACACGGTGCAACATGCCCAAGACGGCCCAAAGACGGCTCAAGAGGCTTCCGAGACGCCCCGAGAGGCGCCCAAGAGGCGTCCCAAGAGGGCCCCAAGAGGCCAAAATCATTGATGTTCCTTAGGAAAGCGTGCGTGTTTTGCATACGCGATTTTTCGGCTTTCATGGCGCCGACGACTGCCCAAGAGGCCCCCAAGCCCGCCCCAGCACGGCCCAAGAGGCTCCCAAGAAGCTCCCAGGAGGCCCCAAGAGCCACCCAAGAAGCCTCAAGAGGCCCCCAAGAGGTTCCCAAGAGGCCTCCAAAAGTGTTCTAAAAGGGCCCCAATAGGACTCCCAAGAAGGCCCAGAGACGCCAAATAATGAGCGATCGGTAACGCAAAAAGCTCCTCACACCAAGGCTCCCAAGAGCGAACGGTGACGTAAACAAGCTGATAAGACCAAGGCTCCCAGCAGAGAGCGGTGACGTAACGAGTTCCTGACACCAAGGCCCAGCCAAGGCTCAGGAACGGGCGGCAACGGAACAATCTCTGAACACCAAGGCTCCCAAGAGCGAGGGATGACGTAACAAGCTCTCAACGCCAAGGCTCCCAGTACGAACGGTGGTGTGAGTAATTTCCGTTTCTGTTTCTGAAGCGCTCTTTCCGTTTTTGTGCCGGGCCAGGTCTAGTGGCCTTTGGCCCATCCTGCCACCGTGCTTGGGTTGTGGTCCGGATGCCTCTTGGATGTTCGTTGGGATCTCGTGAGAAGCTTCTCGGGGGCCTGCCCGGGACAGTTTGGAGGCCTCTGGGGGCTGTTTGGGGGCCTCTTGGGCCTCTTTTGGGCCTCTTGGGGATCTCTTGGGGGCCTCTTGGGGCCTCCTGGGGGCCTTGGGACGGAAAGCTAGAATTTTCGATTCGTGGTCCCCTTCTTGGGCTCCTCTTGGGGCCATCTTTGTGCACTCTTGGGCTGCCTTGAGGCCTTCTTAGGCCGTCTTGGGGCCCTCTTGGGCGGTCTTGGGGCCTTGGGCCGTCTTGGGGCGGTTTTCGGAGCCTCTTGGGCCGTTTTCGAGCGTCGGAAAAGCCGGAAGAGGCGAGAAATCACAAAGTCTCGGAAAAACAACATGACAATTAACGATTTGGGACTCTTGGGAAAATCAACGAGAAGCTCAAAGAGCTCACGGCGATCTGGTTAGCAGAGCTTCGACAGGGATGAAAGGAGGCCCCAAAGGGCAGTCCAAAGGAACAGGATCATTCTGAGAAACACGGCAGGTGCCGCACGAGGCCGGAACAGGCACCGAAGCCGATTCTCCAATGCTACCGGCGATGTTTCTGGCAGGAGTGGGCAAATATACCAACCCTCCACAACCACCTCAAGGAGCACACCCGCCTCTCCATGGGAAGACAAATTTACCTCATCAAGTTCATCATCATATGTTTTCTTCTCCTCTGGGATTTGGTTCGGTAATGGGCCAAATTACCGTCACCGCGAGCCGTCCAACGTATGATACTCTTTTTTGTGCTGGACGTATTCCCGACAAAGTTGCCACTACGTCCATCAACACATGCACACCTTCATCATATACATCCTCACCATCTTCTTGCGCGGGATCCGTTCCCGAAGGGCGGACCCATCGCGACCATGTGTCACTTAGCGCCCCCGCGGTCCTCAACCTTCATTCCGGCGCCGTCCCCACCGACGGGCTGGTCAACGTCAACGAGGACCCCGACATCGAGGCACAGTCGGCCAGGACAGGCTCGCATTTTTTCCATACTTGTGTGGGCCAGCGAACCCAGCATCAGGCCGGGGGACAGAAAGTTTCCACGAAGCAGACAGCTCTACGGTTTGAACCTCGCCGCTTTTGTGCTCCGCTGGGTTCGGAGCAACTGGGTTCCTGGAATGTTGAAGGGCTCCGAGGTGACTCTAGGATCAAGGTTACCGAGCTGATCCGGATGATGGACTCCAATGGGCTTGGAATTCTCTGTATCCAAGAGACGCAACTTCATGGCGCACACTATGAAGAAGACCATGGTTTCTTAATTTGCTTATCCGGGCAACTCGACACACATTCAAATTGACCACATGTTGTGTCATCGCACGGTATTGCCTTGGATACAAGACTGCAGGACCGACCAGACCATATCACTGAACAGCCACCTTTTCTTGACCAAGGTGGTGGTGAATTTCGCATTTAAGAAGCATCGTGACACACAAGCGCAATGTCGAAAATATGCCTCTTCTGTCCAGGACCCAAGCATCAAGGCTTCATTTACGAGGTGTTTCACCGACGTTTGGGAGGCCAACTGCCCGTCGAGTGGATCACGTAACGACATGGCGATCAACGTCGAACGCGCTTTCGCTGCAGCGTCTTCCACGTTGCAGACAAGGCCCGCTCGAGCTAAGAAGGAATTATTCTTAATCTACATTGGATCTGATAGAACAGCGAGATGCATGCCGCCGCTCCGGAGATTACCAAGCAGAGCGCCTACTCCACAAGCGTATCCGGAAAGCAGCCCGACAGATCGGACGGATTGGATTCATGCGACGTTGGTGGGAGGAAATGGGGACGCCGTGAAGCAACCCAGGAAGAAGCCGCAAATCAAACGTGCAGAAGTACGCGACTTGAACAACAATTTGACGGACACCGCTGGCAGACCAGACGCTTTGGCAGATTACTTTGAGAAGATCCTATGGGAAGTCAAATTTGCAGACATCAGCCCTACGTCAACAAGCACTTTGGGCTGCAAGCTACCAGTGGATGTGTCTCCCTTCACGCTGGGGGAACTACAACTAGCTTTGCGGAAAATGGAAAATGGGAATGCTGCGGGCCCAGATGATGTCCCGCCAGAGTTTTGGAAAGCCGGTTCTGCAGATGTTCATGCGTGCGGGGCTCTATTGGAAATTTGCCAAGCCTGCTGGGCGACAAAAGACGTCCTTGACAAATGGAGGAGGGCGAAAGTAATTCTTTTATTTAAGAAAGGAGACCACGCGCAGCCTAGCAACTACCGCCGAATTTCTCTGTTGACTGTTGGCTACAAGGCGCTGGCTTCGATGCTCCACCAAAGGCTTCTGCGAGGAGGAGCTGAAGACCGAATGCGAGAATCTCAATTCGGCGTCCGGCCTCGGCGGGGAACGGCCTACGCCCTCATGCTGATCAGGCGAATCATCGACGCAGCCAACGTGGACAACACTGGGGGCCTTACGATATTCTTGCTTGATTGGGCAAAAGCGTTCGACAGGTTGAAACCGGAATGCTTATGCGCAGCGTTGCTGCGTTTCGGAATTCTTTCTCCGATGGTAGACATGATCAAAGGCATATATTCGGAGCGCTTCTTCACCATAGTTGATCATTGCGGTTGCTGTACGGAAAGGCGGCGGGCTGCTGGCATAGCCCAGGGCTGTCCTTTATTTCCGTACTTGTTCATTGTGGTGTAGAGTGTTATGCACCATGCTGTACTGCACGATCTCCAGCTACTAGATGAACCCGGCTATGCGGTTACCCGAGACGTGCTTTACGCAGATGATACGTTGTTTCTTTCAAGGCGTGGGGAAAATTGCGAAGCTCTACTCAGCGCCGTCGTTTTGGAAGGGCGCAAATTTGGCCTGGAGCTCAACTGGGACAAGACTCTGCAGATGCTAGTGGCGCCAGACAGCGTGGTAACGAGGCCGACCGGGGAGCCCATCACAGGAATTACAGAAGCAGTTTATTTGGGAGGCTTGATCACACACGATGGGCGAGTGGGAAATGAACTCAACCGACGACTGGGCGAAGGGAAAGGTGCATTCCATCAGCTGTGCAAGATTTGGAAGCATGCTGCAATCGGCAGGACAAGGCAGTTGCAAATGTATAGCAGCTGCGTGTTGAGCAAGGTCCTCTACTCCTTGGACTCTCTGCGGCTGCTAAAGGTTGATAGAGCAAGGCTGGGCGCTTTTCATTGCAGGTGCTTGCGGAAGATCTTAGGCATACCCCATTCTTACATTTCGAGAGTTTCGAACGCATCCGTTCTGACGCGTGCCGGATCCAAGCCGCTTTCTGCAGTATTATGCGATCGCCAATGCAAGTTGTATCGGACAGTTCCTGCACAAGCAGTCGATTCCTCGGTGAAGCGGGCGGTGCGCAACGCAGACGGCGCGCCCAGAGATTGGGCATTCCGCCGGCGCAGAGGGAGACCCAGGCAGCAACGGGCGCAATCCGTCTACAACCTCGGTCACCTCAGCATCCGAAGCATTTTGCCTCCTCCACCTCCCCCCCCTAGAAGCGCCCGCTGCGGCCGCGGCAACTTTGTAATTGCTATTTCTGCCCACGCGCCCTTCATGGATGCGCGGCTTCTTGCTTGCTTGCTTGGGGCCCTCTTGGGGGGCCTCTTCGAAGCCTTTGGGGCGCCTTGGAGGCATCTTGGGCCGTCTGGAGGCCATCTTGGGCGTCTTGGGGCGATGTTTCGGGGATTCGGGGCCCTCTTGAACCGTCTTGGAGGTCCCTTGGGGCCCTCGCGGCCCTTTTGCAGGCCCCCGATGCCCCCCGGGCAAAAGTTCTGGAGCAGCGGACAGCCCCAGGCCGGCCCGGATATACCCCCCCTCCGAGTCGACCGGACCGGGAAGCATCTCGCACGCCGATGAATCCCAAGGGGTCCGCGGATTTTGTTCACAACGTCGACCCCCAGAGGTCTGGGCCTCTTTAAAGATTCCGGGGGCCGGTTTTTCATTGCGAGTAGTTTTTTGAGGGTCCCGAGGCCCGTTAAGGGCCCCCAGAGGCCAAAACTCCCGAAAACCCACCAGTCGTGATTTTTGCATGACCCGAGGGGGTTGGGTCAGGGCCTCCCCGATCTCGTCGGTGCTGGTCGCGGCTAGCATAAAGGACGGGAGCATGGGGTGGGCAGTATCCTGGCTGGACCAGATGACGGCAAACGCCGTGCAGCCGAGCCTCGCGGTCTACCAGGATCGGGCGGGCTACCCTCGTTCGGTAGAAAATCATGGGGGCGTGGTGTACCCCCTTAATTCCGTCCTTAGCGTCGATTCGCGTTTGGGAGTCGATGAGGTTGTGCCGATATAGCGTCGGCTAGCGTCGATCTGAGTCCATCTAGCGTCGATTTAGCGTCATTTGGCGCCGATTCGCAAGAGCCGACAAGATGGTATGGGAGGGTCCCATGAGTTGCCACCGAAACATTTACTGGTCGTAGACATAAGCATTTTGTTGTGGATATGACAAGACAACCAACTTTGGGGTACATCAATTATGTAGTCGATCCCCTTCTCGACCTGCACCTTGCGCACTCTCCGCGCGGCAGGTGCCGCGCTGCCGCGGCTGTCGCCGCGGCCGCCGCGGCGGCCACCGTCGAGGCCGCAACGGCGGCCGCCGTGACCGCATCGCGGCGGCGCCTTCCGCACGGAAGGTCCACAAGGTGCAGGTCGAGAGTAGGATTGGGACCGTCAGCGTTTTGGGACGCTCTCAGAGCGTTCCGGAGCGCTCTGGAACGGCCGCGGCGCCCGACACCTCTTCCAGGACCGCCAGGTCTCAGGAGCCTGTTTTTTTTGTCTGGGCGATGACGCTCGTGATCGCCCCCGCCCCTCCCCCCCGATCACGTCACGCTGTTTTTCCCACATGTCTCAAGGAACCTTCCAGGGTTTCCAGACATTCAAGGGTTTCCCGGGACTTCGTCGTCGTCGCTGTTGTCCGCAACCGGGAGGTAGAGGAGGGAGGAGGAGGAGGAGGAGGAGGAGGAGGAGGAGGAAGAGGAGGAGGAGGAAGAGGAGAAAACCAGATGGTTTCGAGGGCCCGTTCGAAGGATTTGTTTAGGGGATGTCTCGAGCGAAACGCTGGCTCTTAAGCGAAGCGCTTGGGTCATCTTAGAGGTCATCCGAGATCGCTCCGAAAAGATGCCTTATAAGAGCGCTTGGCGCACCCCATCTTTTCGAGAATGTCTCAGGCGAGACGCTCATTTGTTGGAGGTCCGCGAATTAGACCAACGATCTGAACATCCCCATGTTCCGAGGATGTCGCAGGCGAAGCGCCCATTTTTAGCAACATACGTTTTAAGATACGACCTCCAACTTCACCATTTGGTGAGGATGTCTCAGGCGAAGCGTTCTTTTTCAAACCTTTCCTGTCATGAACGGGAAGCGCGTGAAAGGGAAGAGTTGTGCCAGAACTTGCAGCGTCATCGCGATCAAATGTCATACAGGCGAGCTCTCCGAACGCTCACAAGGGATACGTATGGACACGCGCCCCTCACAAGCATATTCCTGAGTATCCTCCCCACTCCTCCGCATGAGAAGGACGACGGCGAAGACGACCGGGGAAGAACGGAGAGGGGAAGGAGGAGGAGGAGGAGGAGGAGGAGGAGGAGGAGGAGGAGGAGGGGGATGGAGGAGGAGGAGGAGGAGGAGGAGGAGGAGGAAACCAGCAGCAAAATCTCAAGATGTTCCCAAGAATTCCTTCTCAATCCCTTCTTCCTCCTCTGCTCCGTCTCCCTTTTCCTTATCTTCCTCCCGAGGGCCCGGGGCTTTCGACAAAGGTCCCGGGAGGCCGAAACCCGCCGTGATGTGATCGGGGGGCCCCCCCCACGGGCCCCCCCCACCTCCGATCACGCCCGTTATCGCGGATACATAATCAAAAACAGGCTCCAGAGGTCCCCGTTTTGTCCCGATCCGAGTTTGTCGACCAGTCCTGGCCTCGTCTGCCAGGAGGTGCTCGACGGCTACATCAACGCGGGCTCGAAGCGGGCCGTCTCCTGGCTGGGCCGCATGAGGGCGGACGGCGTCTGGACCGGCGAGTCGTACGACGGCCCGCTCTGCGGCCTCCTGAGGGGGGGCAGCCTGAAGTGGGGCGACGCGTGGTTGAGAGGGCTCCTCGCGGAGAGGGTGCAGCTGAGCGCGGCTTCCTTCGACAGCATCGTCGACGCCTGCCTCCAGGGCAAGAGGGGGGACATGGCAGGCCAGTGGGTCAAGAGGACCCTGGCGCCGCGTCATTCGTCGCAAGGTGTCCCCCTCGCCGCCTCTCCTGCCCCGCTCACCGCTGCCGCTGCCGTGGTCGGTGCCGTCGCGGTTCTCCGGCCCAGCTTCGCAGACAAAACTCAAGTTTTCACGGTGCCCGCTTCCCTCGCATTGCCCAGGCCAGTCCACACAGCCCTCTCGTTGCCCAGAGGTGCCAGGAGGGGGAGCATGCTCCCCAGACCCCCGACGCCGTGATTTGTTTTCGCAACCTCGACCCCCAGAGGAGGTCTGGACCTCTTCCCCGGGACCGGTTTGCCGTCCCGAGTCGTTGTCTGACGGCCCCAGAGGCCCGGTAAGGGCCACCCGGAGGCCGACGATAGCAAAACACCTCCCGTCGTGAGTTCTTCACGGCGTGAGGGGGGCCTGCTCGGGGGCCCCCAAAGGGTGCGGTGACCACACCGCGTGGTGAGCCCGTGGGGATATTCGGGGTGACTTCACGGCGCTGTGGGACTTGGTCCGTTCTCCGAGAACACCTCGGACGACTGGGGTCAAGTCGGGCCTGTCCCTCTGCAGGGGGAACATTCAAAGATGGTCCAGAGATCGTCAGGGGACGTTTTCTGGGGTGCTGTTGGTTATTCTTGGATTATTTCTGGACAATTTTCATATTTCGCGTCGAAAATCCCCCTGTAGGGGGACACGCCCGACCGAAGACTGGGGCCTCCGATGCCCAAGGGCTCCGCACGAGCCGCCGCCCCGCGCCGTGCATGGGGGCCCCCAGCAAGCGCAGAACGCCAGGGCCGGGCCTCGCGCAGAAGTTCATCACGCGGCATCGTGCGACAGCACAGAGCACAGCGCCCCCGCGATCGTCAGACCGCTGCTTGCTGATGATCGGCACGATGATCATCGTGATGGTCGTTCTGCTGCTCATCATGACAGCCGTCGTGATGATCGGGCGGCATCATGATGATGGTGCTGATGATACTGCCGCTCATGATAGCTATACGGCATCCCCGCGCTGGCTCTCGTGGTCTGAGCCCCGTCGACGGTGCCCTGGCACGTGTCCCGCGGCCCAGGCCCGGGCCGCCGCGGCTGGTGCGGCAGGCCGCTCCCCGGGACGCGCGACGCCCGGAGTGGTTCAATGCACGGGGCCCCTGGAAGTCCCGACCCCTGCCCCCGGGGACCGGTCTGTGGTCCTGGGTCGTTTCTTGACGCTCCCGAGGCCCGGCGAGGGCCCCCCGAGGCCGAGAACTGGCCAGGAACCTCCCGCCCTGATTTTTGTCCACGGCGCGATCCTGTCTGGGACCGCGTGCCCCTCTCGCGGCCCCTCTCATCAGCACGTGGTCCCGCGGGCCCCGGGCCCCTCCGGCGCGGCACCTCGCAGAGGAGCCCCGCATATGCGTGCGCATAGAAGGGCCGTCGCTAAGGGGCCCCGCCCTGCTCGTGGCGGGCGCCCCGTCGTTGGCCAGAGGCGCCGCGCATGATCGCATCGTGACAAAATCCGGACCGGAGCTTTTTGGTTTTGCGGGGGAAGAGGAATCCGCTGCCCTTCAAGAAGGCTTTCATGAAGACCGCGACCAAAGGCAGCAGCTGAAGCGAACGAGCAAAACGCAGCAATGGCCCTGGGCTCGGCCATGCTCAAAGAGAGGGGGGGAGAGGGGGAGGAAGAGGAGGAAAGGAGGAGGCAGGGAACAGAGGGAAAACAAAAAGAAAAAAGATCCAGACCGGAGGTTTTTGCCGGTTCTCGGCCTCGGGGGGCCCTCGCTGGGCCTCGGGGACGTCCCAGAACGACGCGCGTAGGACGAAAAACCGGTCTCGGGCCAAGGCTCGGGGCTTCCAGGGGCCCCGTGCTGGAAAACTCAGGACGTCGCATGTCTGGGAGTCCGGCTGTGCTGTCCTTTCTGTTTCCGCGGGCGCCGAAGGAGCGACGCAAAAAGACGGGGTCGTCTGCGCCGACATTGGCGCGTGAGCTGCCCGCGGAGGGTCGCGCGTAAGCACCTCTTGGTCTCCAATCGGGCGTGCCGCGCGGGCGGCCCGCGTAAGCCACCGCGTAAGGTCGCGATGCCATCTCGCGCAAGTCTCCAGCAGCGGCGAAGCGTCCGGGCTCGCCTACATCGGGGGCGGAAAAGAGGGGGGTGATGACTAGGGGGGGGTAGATATCATGGCGTCGGCCATGATGTTTCCCAAGATTTCATGGCGCCTCTTCTTATTTCATTACGTTCCTGGCCCCCCCGCTGGGCCGCGCACATGCCGCCGGTCATGATTTGCACCCCCCCCTCTTGGACACCCCCCTCTTGGCCGCTCCCGACTACAGGCCTACCAAACAATGTCCTGAGAACCTTTTGTGATTTCCACCATGTGCTCTTAGAACATGTCTGGCGGAGTCTTTCTTTTTGTATCACATCGGGTTTCTGTTCCAAGAACATTGTTTTTGTTATCAGAGCATGTTGTGTTCTATGAACATTTCGTGGTAGGACAATCGGAATGCCGGGACGGTCGGTTCCTGCTCACAAAAGACCTTCTTTCGATCGCTGCCCAAATGGGCCAAGACGGCCATGCCGATCAGCAAGCGGTGGGGTGCACCAGGAGCGAACGGAGGCACGTGAAGGCGGCAGGGACGGAGCGCGCGGGGGAAGCGGGAGGGGCCCGCCAAAGACGTGCGCCGTCCGCAGCTTGTCGATGCGGGGCCCCTGGAAGTCGAGACCCTTTCCCCCGGGACTGGTTTACCGTCCTGAGTCGCTTTCCGAACCCAGACCTCCAGAACAAAGCACGACGGGAGGTCTTTCGCTCTTTTTGGCGTCCGGGCGCCCTTACTGGGCCTCGGGACCGTCAAAAACAACTCGGGATGAACAAAACCGGTCCCTGGAAGGGGGTCCGGACCTTTGGGGGTCGACGTAGCGAAAAAAAACGACGCCGGGGGTTTGGGACGGTCCTGCGGCCCAGCGAGAGCCCCCCAGGGGCCGAAACCGGCAAGTATTAAATCGGGCGTGTCCCCCTACAGGGGGATTTTCGACGAAAAACAAAGTAATCCAAACGTATTCCAAAATGGTCAAACAATACTCAAAAAATAGTCCCCACACTATTTTTTGACTATTTTTGAATACTCCCCCTGTAGAGGGACAGGCCCGACTGAAGGCAAGTATACGGCCAACTTGGGGAACTGTAGAATGTCTTCGAATTGGGACTTGGTTTGAAGATAGCGGCACTTCGCGGCGCGTAGCGGCACGAGCGCTCGCGGTCCCGATGGGGCCAGCGGTCTCACTCACGCGCCCGTGGTTTCATGGAGGTCGGCGTCCCCGAGCCCCGATTGACATGCCCGTGGCCCAGATGGTGCGACGCGGCCACTAAGTGCCACTAAATGGTAATTCTCGGAACCACGAACGGCCACTAAGTGCCACTAAATGGTAATTCTCGGAACCACTAACGGCCACTAAGTGGGCTACTAAGTGCCGCCAAATGGCATCTTGATTCTCGGAGCCACTAACGGCTACAAGTTGCCACTAAATGGTCATTCTCGCAGCCACTGGCGACCGCTACGTGCCACTGAATAGTACTTCTCGGAGCCAGTAGGCCGCTAGGTGCCACTAAATGGTAATTTTCGGGGCCGCTAAAGGCCACTAAGTGCCGCTAAGTGCCACTAAACGGCCGCTACAGGCCGCTAGCGGCCACTAAGTGCCATTAAATGGTAATTCTCGGCGGTCGCGATGGTCAGTCCGAAGTTCCCCAGAGAGCCCACATAACGGCAATACAACCTCCCGCCCCAATTTTTTTTACGGCGCGATCCTGTCTGGGGCTCAGACCATGAGTCGGGGGCAACGATAGGGGGGGATAGGCATAGGGGGGGATGCATCTTTTTTTTTTCCTCCCCCCAGTGCCAGTAGACCCTCGCCCGACCAAGGTGCGGTCGACGGCGACGCCTTCGGCGACCCGGGGCCTTCCGAGGCCCCCGGCCCGCGGCGCCCAGCACCAGCCGCTCCTGCCCTACACGCCCCCCTGTTCTCTATAGGGGCCTCGGGCAGTGTGCGGCGCCCGCCACCGCTGGTACACGCCCCCCTTCTCAAGGGGCCTCCCAGGGTGCGGATCCGGCTGCTGGGGCCGCACCGGGCCGGGCAGCGCCGGAGCCCACTGCCGCACACCGCCCTTCTCGCATGCGCAAATCCCGGCGCTATAGCCGGTTGCGTCGGGGCCCAGCTTCGCATCCCACGTCTCCCTGAGGAACGCCAGAGCCCGCTGCCCCAGAGCGCCTTTTTCGCACGCGTTGCTCCCCGCGCTGTAGCCGATGACGTCGGGCTCCAGCTTCGCATCCCGCATCGCGGTGTGCAGCGCCACTGCCTGTTGCCACTGTCCCTTCTTCTCGCACGCGCTGATCCCAGCATTGTAGCTGATGACGTTGGTCTCCAGTTTCGGTTTCCTCCTCTCGCCGAGCGGCGCCAGAGCCCACTGGCGCTGCGCGACCTTCACGGATGCGCAGATTCGAAGATCCCGGCGCTGTAGCTGGTGACGTCGTCGTGCAGCTTCGCCTTCCGCATCTCCTGGAGGACGGCGAGGGCGTTGGCCGTGGCGTAGGCGCGAGCGCTGGTGCCGGCGAAGGCGCTGACCTTGGTGCTGGCGTGGGCGTAGGCGTAGGCGTGGGAGCTGGCGTCTGCGCTGGCGTTGGTCTTGCTTTCGGAGCTGGCGTCAGCGCATGCGTCAGTGCCCGCGTCCTCAGCCTCCTCAGTCTCCTCGTCCTCCTCTTCCTCTGCCTCCTCATCCTCCTCGGCCTCCTCCTCCGCCTCCTCCTCCTCAGCCTCCTCTGCCTCTTCCTCCTCGTCCTCTTCCTCCTCCACCTCCTCAGTGGTGCTGATGTTGGGGTCGGCGTGGGCGAAGGCGGAGGCGCTGGTGGTGGAGCCAGCGTAGGCGCTGGGGATGCTGCCGGCGGAGGCGCTGGCGGTGGTGCTGGCGCCGGCGTCCTGATCGGTTTCATCCTCCTCTTCCTCCCCCTCCTCCTCCTCCTCCTCCTCCTCCTCCTCCTCCTCCTCCTCCTCCTCCGCCCCCTCCGCCACGCCCTCATCCTCCTCCGCTTCCGCCTCCTCCTCCACCTCCTCCTCCACCTCCTCCTTCTCGATGAAGCTGGCGTGGAAGCTGGCGGCGTCGCCGGCGTGGAAGCTGACGTCGTCGGAGCTGGCGTCGGTGCTGGTGTAGGCGCCGGCGTTGGTGCTGGCGTACGCGCTGGCGTGGGTGCCGGCATCAGCGGCTCTGGCGTCGGTGCTGGTGAAGGTGTCGGCGGCGTTCATGCCAGCGTAGGCGCAGTCGGCGGTGCCGTCGTAGGCGTTGGCGTCGGCACTGGCGTGGATGGCGGTATCCTTGGAGCTGATATCGGTGTTGGCGTAGGCGCTGGCGTCCTCGATTGCGTCGGCGATGACGTCGCCGAGGGCTTTGGCGTTGGTGCTGGCGGAGTTGGCGGTGGCGCTGGCGTTGCGGGAGGCGCGGGCGTTGCCGTAGGCGCTGGCGTGGGCGTTGGCGTAGGCGCATGCGTCCTCCGTCACCTCCTCCTCGACCTCGTCCTCATCCTCCTCCGCCTCCGCCTCCACCTCTGCCATCGTCGTCTCCTCGTCCTCCCCGTCCTCATCCACCTCGGCGTTGGGGTTGGCGTAGTCGTAGGCGTTGACGTCCGAGCTGGCGTCGAAGGTACTGGCGTTGCTGGCATCACGCGTGACGTTGGTGCCGGCGTAGGCGCTGACGGTGGTGTCGGCGTAGGGGTGTTCCTCCTCGGCCTCCTCCTCCTCCTCCTCCTCCTCCTCCTCCTCCTCCTCCGCTGTTGCCGTCGCCTCTTCGTCCTCCACGTCCTCACCCACCTTCGCGTTGGGGCTGGCGTAGGCGTAGGCGTCCCCGATTGCGTCGGCGATGACGTCGCCGAGGGCTTTGGCGTTGGTGCTGGCGGAGTTGGCGGTGGCGCTGGCGTTGCGGGAGGCGCGGGCGTTGCCGTAGGCGCTGGCGTGGGCGCTGGCGTAGGCGCATGCGTCCTCCGTCACCTCCTCCTCGACCTCGTCCTCATCCTCCTCCGCCTCCGCCTCCACCTCTGCCATCGTCATCTCCTCGTCCTCCCCGTCCTCATCCACCTCGGCGTTGGGGTTGGCGTAGGCGTAGGCGTTGACGTCCAAGCTGGCGTCGAAGGTACTGGCGTTGCTGGCGTCAGGCATGGCGTTGGTGCCGGCGTAGGCGCTGACGGTGGTGCCGGCGTAGGGGTGTTCCTCCTCGGCCTCCTCTTCCTCCTCCTCCTCCTCCTCCTCCTCCTCCTCCTCCTCCTCTTCCTCCTCCTCCTCCTCCGCTGTTGCCGTCGCCTCTTCGTCCTCCACGTCCTCACCCACCTTCGCGTTGGGGCTGGCGTAGGCGTAGGCGTCCCCGATTACGTCGGCGATGACGTCGCCGAGGGCTTTGGCGTTGGTGCTGGTGGAGTTGGCGGTGGCGCTGGCGTTGCGGGAGGCGCGGGCGTTGCCGTAGGCGC